CAACCAAATCATGTTAACCAAATAATGAGAAAGCCAAGTTAACAGTATAATTAGACCTCTAGATTCCCAGCAACTTTTCAGTTGCTGTCACAAATTCAAGACCTCACTGACGCTGCACTGTCAGAGTGCCATTTCCAAACCAGCAGGAATCCAACTGCCTGTGTCCGTACTCAGCAGGCAGCTGGAATGCCCCACTGCTGAGCATGGCAACTCAGGGCAGTACAATCATCCAGAAACTCCAGCAGGGCACTAAACACCAATCACACGTCAGTCACTTAGCAACATCCAGCCTACAGTCACACCTAAAACGTGCAAGTCTGTGGAATTTTAAGTTTCACACCCATTAGAACTAATAAAAGGAGTTGCATATCTGAATCAGATCACTGACTTTCAGGAGAAGTCTTAGTACAGACCATGCCTACAGAATCCCTATTGCAAAAAACAAACCCGATCCAGTAACTCCCTAGTATTTAATTCTACAGTGGCATTCCACTGCCTTTAGAACAAAATCCAAATCCCTTGCTTAACCTGGTCCCCAAGGAAGGACCTGCATGATCTGGCTCCTGCCCACCTTTTGCGCTCAACTCCCACCCCACCATGCCCTCCACTGCAGCAGCAACCCTCCTCGGGGTTCTCTGGCATGCCACGCTCTAGCTGACCTCCCAGGCCTTTCTCCATGCAGCTGTCTGAAATGCCCTTTGCACCCGTTCTCCCAAACCTTCCTTCTGCTTGGCAAAAAAGTAATAAGCACTTGGTACTTGGCATCTCTTTCAAGACCCATCTCAAGGGTCACATGACTTTCCACTCCCCAGGGTGAGTGAGGGGCCATCTCTGTGTTCCCATGACTCTGGGTAATATACTCTATCACAACGCTCATGACACCATTAAAATCACCTTTGCTAGTATTCCCATTACAATCTTTGCTGTAACTCATCAGGGGGACCCACCAAACTCGTATCTTAAAACATTTCAATTTCGAGATCATAGAAAAGTTGTCTTGAGGCCACAGTGTACCAAACATCCAGCTGGAATGTCAGTATTACCATTAATTACCTTGGGGAAGGCCTGAGAATGGAGAGTATCATGCCTAAGATGAAATTCAGGTACGTGCTTTACAGGTGTGTGCATGGCTGCACACGCACACACACACACAGGAGTAAAGCTCAAGACTAAGGAAAACAAATCGGCTTCAAGATAGGAGAAACATATTTAAAAAGGAAAGCTGTATGCTAATATTTAGCTTTCTTTTTCCCTTGTATACTAGAATGCCAGTCTTTTCTTGTACCAACCTAGAACCAAGTTTCATTCAAGATTTCCTGAGCTAAAATGCTGCTGCACATTTTTATGTCAAAATATGTGCGTGGAGGGTGGGGAGGTTGCTTGGGGAGTAGCAAGGAGTATTGCAATTTCAGATGATTACTTATTGGCTATTAACTTATTAAGGTTCCAAATGAAATAGTGGTCCACCTCTGTGTTCTAGGAATTGTTATTCTGGTGTCTGGAGGAACAAATCACCCCTTGTTCCATTTCCCAGAACACAATATTCATTCTAAGTACACCTTTGAGAGTTTGAGATATTTTATTGCATCTGGAAAATTGAAGTCACTGCAATCTTCCAAGGAAGCCAAGAGTGAAGCGGAGAGTGTCTCACAAGCTATAACAACGTGGTGCCAACAATGCTGTGCCTCTGAAGCCAGGCCTAGGGGCCCAGACAGAGCAGTCCTCTCCACGAGCTGCACTGGGCTTATGTGTTTCATCAAGTGCAGGATGAGGTCACCAACAGGTTTCAAGCAAGGTAGTGAAATGATTTGACAAGAATTTTAAAGATTGCATTGGGTCCAAAGTGATGACAGGAACAGAAGAAAAAGAGAAGCAGGCAGGGCAGCCAGTTAAAAGGGTGTGGCAGTCACCTGGCAAAGGATGATGTTGGCTTGGACTTGGGGGTGGATACAGGAAGGCCATGGATGAACTCAATATCCACTTTAGGAGAGGCAGCATTAGGACTTGGTGATTTGGAGGAAGAAAAAGACGAGTATTAACAGATGAACTCCCAGTTTCTGGCTTGACAAAGTGAGTTAACAACTATGCACCTTAATAAGATGAGGGAAGGGAGGAGGCCTAGAAAGGGACTATGGTAGAAGCAGACCAACAGTTAAAATCTGGACACAGTAAGCTTGAGGTGCCCATGAGATATCAAGTTTGCTAACTGTGAAAAGGGTGTAAGAATGCTACAGAACACAGAGGAGTCCTCGGGCCAGCCTCAGAGGTGACCCCTGTCCATCCTCTCATGGTGCTCGGAGGTCCTGCCACTGTGCCAATTCAAGGTGGGCACAACCACTAAGGAGCACCTGGGACCCCACCTGGGACCCCATAGAGGCTACCCCATGTGGGTAGCTCTATGAGGATCTTCACTAATGAAGATCCAGCTTTGGGGTTAAGAAAACAATAACCTTAACAGTAAAATGGTGCTTGCATCATGCCACAACTGTAAGTAAAATGTGAAGCCTGATGTTTCCTTTGATTACAAGCATCACAATAGGCTTGCAGATTTCTCGATATTGATGTTTCGGATTCCCAGTAAAAGGGTGTTGGTATCTGGTCTTGGGGCCCAATGCTTACACTATGGGGAGTACCAACCTGTTTGGGGGATTCCAGGTTACAGTTTCCCATAGGAAAATGTTAATCTAAAAGAGTATCAGAGGAAGGTCTCAAAATAAAAAGACGAGAGACAGTGGCCTGTTTTAGGAAAACAACAATTCACGGAAATCATATCCTGCTCTTAAGTTAATAGCCTCTCTTCTAGAATAGAAGCTGGTTTTTTATTATGATGGTTCTATTTTCCCATTTCGCCATCAAAGAACAAATCAAAAAGTCACTTGACAATCCGCTCTTTCATTAAAAGTTGAGCCATTTTTAAAAAATCACAGTTAACTAAACAATTCCACATGGCAATAAAGCACTGTGCTCTGCTGCCTTGATTGATAGAAACCATTTGCAATTATTTAAAAGAGAAGAAAGGGAAAGAACATCATCAGATACAGCTGAATTAAGCTGATCAAACCTGTTAGTGTCTTCCAGTTTACTCAGAGTAAGACAATACAGCACTCATGTAAACTAATTAAATTTCTTGTATTTAAATTAGTCTTAACAAAAACAAAACTTTCAAGACTGACTGGAAGGTCTCAGGAGGAACATACCTGCTTTTTCAAGAGAGCTGCCTGGCTGAGGGTGGAGGGAGCACCAGGGTCAGACTCTCAACAGAAGGTCAAGACTCCCCTCCCTCAAAGGAACACTGAGGGTGGGGAAGAGATGGTTTTGTGACACTATTAGTTTGCCATGGCTTCCAAAGGAGAGGGAGCAAGATGAGATGGGGTGGGAAAAACTGAACCCCATTCACATCAGCTCATGACGTTATGCCAGACATCGAACTTCTGAGCTTATTTCCTGACTTTGAAAATGAGAGGTTACCACTCGCCTCTGCCTGCTTCCCAGGACTGGCGGGAAAAGCAAATCTGCCGATGTGTGTCAAAGCACCTTGCAAAAGAGAAAGCACTCTACCAATGTGAGAGACAATTGCTGGTTACTGTTACAGGCAGAAAGGGCTGAGTCAAGTCTTCCAAGATAATGGTGACCAACTACACTGATTTTTTTTTTTTTTTTGAGAACTGTCAATTGATTATTTATTTTGTATAAAAGTTACATTGAAAGAAGAGGTTGAAAAGTCAAGTATACTTGATTTGCACACACTCGCGAAGTCTCACAGGATTCAACCGCTTGGATAATTTTTTATTGATAACAGGATATACATATTAAAAGCCTCACACTGAAGCCCAATACACATGTCCAACCCAGACAACAATGTGCAAATGAATACCCAAAACAATCTCTGGAAATTTGTGTCTCTGGGAACACCCACGATCTATGCTTTGTCTCTCTGGCTATGATGCATAAACTCATAAAATTAACAAGAAACTTTTCTGGGATCTTTAGCTGTTACAGTAAACACTTTGAGAAAAGGAACCTGCTGACTTGTTCATTTAAAAGACAAAGGCTGGGGGCAGGGAGGTGGATTAAGACACAAAGTCACTGAGTGAAGCAGTCGAGAGCATGGCACAAATGGAGAAGGTGATCCACTGGTGCAGCAGACAGGAGGGGCCACAACCACAGCGAGACCTAAACCCCACCACACGCAACCCCCACTCACACCCGCCACAAGGGGTGGAAGCGGGCTGGGGAGCTGTGCTCCAGGGACCACTGGCATCCAGCTCTGCCTGTCACCTTCCTCTCCACTTCTGGATTCCTGCTCTTAACGTGGGCCCAAAATCGAATGTGAAAAAAAAGAATCAGATACCAAAGCTTTGCTATTAGCTTCATTTCATCAATAGCCAAAGGACACCTGGAGAAGATCAGGAATTTCGGATGAATGCTCAAAGATCATAATGTATTTAAGAATGATTTCTAGTACAGGCCCAGTAAAGGAGGCGTGGTGGGGGTATGATGTGGGTCCACACAGGAGCAGGCCTCTTGTGGGGAGGCTCCTACATTAGTCATTCGAGAAACATTTACGGAGTACCGACTGTGTCCCAGGCACAATTCAGATGCGCCCTCGACGAGCTTACTGGGGAAAACACAAAAACAGGCAACGAGAATAAAGTGTGGAGGTAAGTACTATGATGGGGGGTGTGTCACGGACCTCTACCCGACCTGCCAAGAGAGGAAGGGTGAGACCATCAGGGGAAGGGCAAACGAGAACACAAACGTCACAGGAAGGTGAAAGTGTCGTGGGGGTTCAACAGCAGGAGAAATCACCCGCAGCCTGGAGGAGATCTTCCACAAAGGACAAAGGTGGCATTTGATAAAGATCTTGAGGGATGAAGAGGAACTTGGCCAGGCAGAGAGAAGGGGTAAAATATTACACACAAAACTGGGCATATGGGAGGAATGACAGGGACAGTAACCTCTCCCCAGACAACGAGTTTCCCTTATAAGAGAATGTTTACCTTTTCTTCAACTTAAAGAATCGTTGATTGAATAATTTCAGCAAACTGATTTTCCGTACAGGTGACTTGAGTTATTCCTGTTGAGAAATTAGAAGAAAAGATATCATAGGTGCTGGGAAGGTATCCCTCCATAGACTCCTTTTTTGGGACTCCCCAGCCCCTCAGCCCATGCTGAGAGGGCAGTCACACGGTCCCCTTCTCCCAACTGGCTTAGGGATAGACACTTATCACCGTCCTGCTCCAGAAGGGGACAGAGACAGATACACTGGCACATGCGTGCATGTGTGTGACGGGCAGGAGCACGCAGCCCCTGCGTGGAGTTAGAGGGGCCTTCCCACTCCAGCAGGCAGTCAAGCTTTGCTCCTTGTATTCCTGGGATTACTACAACAAACTCACTGCTAACTTAAGCTGCCATGAGAGCATGGCTATTCCCTGCAATCAAAAACCACTGATTTAAAAATGAGGGATACAGGTTTGGGACTAGAAAAAGAAACGAAAGTGGAAGGTGAAGGAACAGAGGCTTTTAAACCAAAGCCTTGGGAAAAATAAAAGATGATGAGAAAGTGACCCAGGCATCTGAACTACTGTCCCATAACATCAGAGAGGAAAGGAAGAGATGTGTGAGAGCCACAAAGGACAGCCAACAAATTCACTCAAAACCTCAGTGGCATTTAATATTAAGTTGGAAGCCCAGACACTGGGGGAAAGGGGCTTTTAATATGGGTATTACTCATAAAGCAAAATAAATAAGAGTTTCATTGAAAATAAAAAGGTGGGAGGCTCCAAAAAGTGTCCATAACAAGCAAAACATAATTGAGTAATGGTACAATGCCTATCATTACTAATATATGTAAAGATAAATCTTGGTTTACCGTGATTTTGTTTTGTTTCAAAAAAGAAAAAACATTTCATTTCAAGGTGTGGTGGGTCAGCAATCAGCGCTGAGTTCAGCTTGGGCTTTTTCTTCCGGTCTTGCCTGGCTTATGTATGTGGCTATGGGCATCTGGTTGCTCCACTGGGCCAGGTGGTCTCACATGACTTTGTTCATGTTAGTGGTTGGTACTGGCTGCTGTGCTGCCTTTATATTCTCTTGCAGTAAATGTAAACAGTTGTTGTTTTTTTATCCCCCCAAGAGCTTCACAGATGGATGCCCAACCTCTATCCTCACCATATTTTTCCATTAGTTCCTGAGTTGGGCAATCACAAACTTACCTACTGTGGGAATTTAAGAACCTAACATCTTGTACTCTCTTCTACTAGGGAGCACTGATTTTGGTGAAGTCCAGAGATTAAGGTAGGTAAAAGGGAGGGATGGGACACAGAACTGGAAAGGGGAAGGGAGTTGGTTATTCAGGAGTCATGAATGCCAAGTAAAGGAGTTTGGACTTCATCAAAGCAGCATGTAGTCTAGTCCCCATTCCCTAAGAGATAATTACCATTCTGAAAATATGGAAAGTTCAATTTGGGCTCCAGAGGAAAAATATGACCTGAGCCAGAGGGTCTCTAAAGACTGAAGCAGTCATCAGGAAATTAAGTCATTAGCAGGCCATGACCTCTACCCTTGATGGGGTTCTTTGCCTGCTGCTTTTGGCTCAGTAGCTGCAGCAAAGGCTCTACTAGTTTGCCCCAGTTTCTAGGCCTTCTGAGCAGCTTGTTGCTCCAGAGGCTCACTGAAGCATCAGCTTTCACCGAACAGGGTACAGAACAGCGACAGGGACACCAGCTGGCCTCCAAAGGGCAACTCTGCTATCTGCTCTCCCCAGATCTGGCCCTGTCTAAATATTCCAAGGAGCAGAGGCACCTGCTGCACGTCCCAGACCTACAGTACTTCCTCTCACTGGGCCTCAGTTTCTTCATTCATAAAATGATGGAGACTAGATCAGTGGTACTCAACAGGGGTTCTGCAAACCAGTGCCAACTCTGCTGCTGGGTCAGGACCAGATAAATACAAAAATTGGGAGTAAGTGCTCAGAAGCTTTTCTAGCAATATGATATTGCTACAGAGCCAAGCACATAAACAGTGGAACTGTCCTGGACAGGGCACAGACTAGTATACGAGTTTCCTGAGGCTGCCATAATTATCACTGGATGGCTTAAAACAAGAAATGTATTAGTTCTGAAGCTCAGAAGTCTGAAATGAAGGAATAGGCAATGCCATGCTCCCTCTGGAAGGTGTAGGGGAGAACTCGTTCTTCACTGCTTCCAGCTTTTGGTGGCTTCGCATTCCCTGGCTTGTGGCCACATCATTCCGACCTCTGCCTCCATCTTGACAGATGCCTTTTCCTCTTGGCACACTGCCTTCTCTTCTGTGTCAAATCTCCCTCTGCTTCTCTCTTATAAGAATATCTGTGATGGCACTTAGGGCCTACAAAATAATCCAGGATGATCTCATCTCAAGATCCTTACTTAGTCATATCTGCAAAGCCCCCTTTTCCAATTAACATTTATAGGTTCCAGGGATGTTCTAATCTAAGCACATCTTTGGGGCCACCATTTAGCCAACTACAGCTGGTTTGGGTATTGTTGAATTTGTGCATGACCTGCTGCACATGGTGCATACTGTACATTTCCACTGGGGAAACACAGCCCACCCTGTGTTTCTAAATAGCCTGAACAGCAGTGGACCAGATGACCTCAACTATAGCAGGTTCCCTTGAGCACACACACTCGGAACCCCTGCTATGCCTCTCTACAGCCCAGAGGCCTAGGCTGCACAGGACCAGACTGCAATGGACAGCATCAAGAATGGAGAGCAGGCTAGCAGGTGACCTATGGGGTAAAGTGCAGATGCAGACTGTTCCCTTAGCCTTTCCCAGGGCTGATCTCCCAGATAATCTGGCAGACAATGCAGGAGCTTCCCCTTCCCCACCCCATACTCCTGTCCCTCACATGGCCTTAGTTGCAAAGCGATTACATTAATCTGTTTTCTGTTCAAATGTACCTTCCTCATCCTATCAAATGCTCAGTTTTAAATGTCCACATTTGAGAACAGAACCAAAACTATGCTACTGAAGTCCCTGTAAACCTAGCATTACCCTGCTAGTAACAACCTTTCCCCCAACAGCCCTCCCACTAACTTCAAAAACACCCAGCAAGTTTCCAGGCTTCATAACAGAATGGAGAAGGCACTTGGGTGACTTCACAAAGCAAGGATGTCATTCTGTGTTAGAGGTTTTCTTGCATGGTCAGAATACTCCTCACTGAATGAACCACAACATGTAGGGGCCCCATGCTGTTACACTTCAGCCTTAAAGGGCAGACTATGTCAAAGGACCTCAGAGTATTGAAAATGGTAACATGCGATAACAGGTATGGCTATGATAAAACAGGTACTCTCATCATTCAACTTTCTGGAAAGCAATTTAACAAATTCTCATTAAGCGGCTTAAAACTGTACACATCCTTTAACATTGTAATTCCATTTTCAGAACTCTACACTAAGGAATAAAGTGGAACAAAACTTAATGCTACATGGCAACATCATACCTGAGATAAAAAATGAAAAAGAAACTTTTCCAACAAAAGGATATAATTAGACAAATTATGGTAGATTCATTTAAAAACTCTTATGCAGCCATTAAAAATGGCATCTGACAAAGAATTGTTAATAAAAATAACAACTACAATAATAACAGCTACTCCTTACACAGGCCAGTCACTAATCTGAGCTTTTTAGGTGTTCTGTACATATTAATCTTTGTATTTTGTATACCAACTCAAGGAGGTAAGTATTATTATTCCCATTTTACAGATCAGAAACAGAGGTATCGAGAGTTAAGGCACTTGCTCAAGGTTATTCTGCTAGTAAGGCACTAGGATTAGATCCCATACAGTCTGGCTCCAGAGTCCATTGTCTAGAACCCCGTAGAAGGTTGAATAATGGCCCCAGAGAGGTCAGATCCTGTATCAGTCCATTTTCACACTGCTGATAAAGACACACCCGAGACTGGCTAATTTATAAAGAAAAAGAGGTTTAATGGACTCACAGTTCCATTGTGAGGCCTCCCCAACCACAATGGCGTGGAAGGCGAAAGGCACGTCTTACATGGTGGCAGACAAGAGATGATGAGAACCAAGCAAAAGTGGTTTCCCCTTATAAAACTATCAGATCTTGTGAGACTTATTCATTACCACAAGAACAGTATGGGGAAAACTGCCCCCATGATTCAATTATCTCCCACCAGTTCCCTCCCACAACACGTGGGAATTATGGGAGCTACAATTCGAGATGAGATTTGGGTGGCGACACAGCCAAACCACATCAAGTCCCAATCCTGAAACCTGGAAATGTTATCTTATGTGGAAAAATGGTCTTTGTAGACGTGATTAAGCCAAGAATTGTGAGATAAAGCTGTATTCCTGATTATCTAGACTGGACCTAAATTCACATGTCCTTTAAGGCAGATTACACACACACAAACACACAGACGCACACTGTGAAAACTGACGAAGATATACAAATGACAAGACCACGTGCCAAGGAATGCTGGCAGCACCAGCAGCTGGGAGAGCAAGGAGTGGAACGGATTCTCCCCTAGAGTCTGTGCACATGGAGCACGGTCCTGCCCATATCTTGATTTCAGACTTCTGGCCTCCAAAACTGTGAGAATAAATTTGTTATTTTAAGCCACCCCGTTTGTGGAAATGTATTACAGCAGCAACAGGAAACTAATACAAGTCCATGTTGCTCTCAACACAAGAAAAAGTATTCATATATTAAATGGAATAAGAAGAAACAAAATTTATACACAATGATCCTAATTATGCATATAAAAATACATGCAAATACAACAAAATGTTTACAGTGATTATCTCTGAAGAAGGATTATGGGTAATTTTCAGCATTATGCCTTCTGCTATTTACCCAAATTTCTACAATTAGTCTGAATTATTTTTACAAAGAAAAGAAAGTTATTTTTAAAGTAGGAATCCTTGATATTTCTGCAACTCTAACTTAAAGAAGATTACAAATCAAGAGGTCCAGAACTCAGTGGGAATTTTCCTAATTCAATCTCAGAGCAACACTGACAAATTTAGTAACCTGGATACATGCCATTCTCTAAATGACTCCACTCAACCC